TAGGAACTGTGGGCTCAATGTAATCCGCTGCTACTGGTACTGGTGTGAAATGGGGCCTGTAGCCAGAAGTATCAACTCCTCCAGCTCTACAAAGATCCTCTAGCATGTGCGTCCAGTAATCGCCCTGAATAGTCAATCTGTTGAGCTGTCCTTGCATGCGCTGGATGATGGGAGAATCCTTATAAAGTGACTGTGATGGTGGTCTTGATGTGGAAGATGAGGGCGTAGATGAAGAAGATGCAGAAGAAGAATGTATATGCTCTAGGTGTGGGCCATAAGGCTCGTGTGGCCATATACGTGGGCTCCTGGTGACCAAAGATGCTGGTGGAAGCTTTGCAGCTCCGAGAATCTACCTGTTCCTTGCTTCTAAAAGCAAGTCTTTGTATGTCATAATTAGAGCCATCTTCACATCTCTGGGCTCCTCTGGTGGTATCTCTACTCCTGCTTGGATATACAAATGTGTGATCAAGGAAGAGTGAGCAAGTCTGGTGTCTCCTCTACCAGCCCTGATGATGTGAAGGATTCTATATGAAAGAATCCTAGATACATTGAGGTTCTTGTCTCTCATCGGTACATACAACAATGTGGCTCTCTACATTCATATCAATAAGGTTAGGGAGAGAATGACTGTAGATTATTAAACTGGTGCCAAAATGCAGCTTCACTAGTGAAGTCATATTTCTCCATCTTTTCAGGACATTATCTAGTCCAGCTTTTGGCTTCCAAGCAGAGTATAAACCAGTGATTCCTTGCTTGACTGTCTTAGGTACATCAGGCATATCTTCTGTGTATAGGCTCGTACTGGTGGTGGGTTGAAGCTTGTTTTACCTGGTCATAAACCTGTAAGCATCATTTCTATCAAAGGAAGTCTTTAGGAACCGCTCAATATCATTTTCCTCAAATGAAACCTCTTTCCCTCTCGCCCAGCTTATCCTAATTGCATTAACTCTCTCCCTATCCACATTAGCATAAAATCCCTTCAAAATGGAGCTAAAGCTGGGCGTTGCAAATGTTACTAAGGTTTGCCACTTCCTTTCCTTGATTACTTCCAATATTCAGAGTTCTCAGGAAAGGTCTTCAAGGCAATTTGCCTTTTCGGTATAACCTTCTTAGGCATGAACCATTGTTCATATCTTTGCTGGTGCTCAGCAGAGAGAAACCTGTCCTCTTCATAACCATATGAGGTCCTTGGTCTCTTGCTACCAGATGTAGTTGTACCCTTAATGCCTGCCTTTGTTCCTTTCTTGGATTTTTCCATTTGTTTTCCCTAAAATTTAGAAAAATACCAATGCATTCATATCCATTCAACTTTAATTACATAGCTCTACCTATGTTCATCACAACCATGATTCCCAGGTTTAATTCAACATTATGTTTCCCAGGGAATGCCCAATTATCAAACAACCAATTTAGTATTAATGTGTGCCACAAAGCTACTCTTGTAAAAATAAACATTGATTATTCACAAGGCGAATGCACATCTAGTAAGCAACTCATCATAATATTAGTAATTAAGCAACAAATGATTATGTGCATAAATGACACCTTAATAGAACCAATGTTTCCATATGAATATATACCAAATGCAGCAATCTATTGAACTCATTTGCAATAATTATTCATACTCAAGATTGTCCATTCATTGTGAAATTAACTAACAGATAAACAACACAATAAACCAAATTTCAACCAATTTTGAATACAAACCACAATGTAAATCTGATTGAAATCTTCTCGGGCTCAGAATGGTTTTCAAATATTTACCGCACAATTAAGGAGAAAAGAGAGCTTACCTTATCTCTTGCCATAGTAGAAGTAGAAGATGCAAATTTTAACCCTAAATCTACCCATAGTGAGGAACATGGATATGATAATGGAGAAAGTGGATGGTTGAGAAGTTGTGGTTATGGAGGTTCTGTGATGGTCTGGTGACAGATATGGTTAGGCTGTTGTGGGTTGGTGTGGTTGTGATGAGGGGAGAAAATATTGAGAAAATGAGGGTTGAGAGAATGAGGGAGAGGAAGGAGGAATGAAAAATGGGGTATTGGTGAGAAAGATGGTGAAAGAGAGATGAAGAAAGGGGGAGAGCGACTGAAGAGGGAAGGGGGATTTTTTTTCTAGGGTTTCTTTTAAAATTTTAAACTTTTGAAATCCTCAAAATCGCCAGCGTTGATCGCGTCATTCTAGTGCAATCCGCGCGGAGAGGCCGTGATGTTTAGGCTTTCATGGCGCTGATTGCGCCAAATTCACGCGTTTCAAACGAATTTAACCCAGCCCATGCCATCCGCGCCATATTCACGCGAACTGTGCGGGATCACAGAGACTCCTTGTTTCTTTGGTGTGGCTCACGTGAGTAGGAAGTTAATATCTTTCTTCTATAGCGCGAATTAGCGTGGATCCGCTGCTGACATAAAATTTTACACCATTCATCTTGAACTTTAAACTACCTAAGAAACTTAAATTTAAATAAAGATAATGACTCATTATTGTTGGGTTGCCTCCCAATAAGCACTTGTTTAATGTCCCGAGCTTGACACGGACAAGTTACGTTTCAGGTGAAGCCAGAGGGACAAAAACTTTTTCCCTATTCACTTGTCCTCCATAATATAATTTCAACCTACAACCATTAACCTTGAAAGAGTTATCGGTATCTCTAGGTGAAATCTCCACAGTACCATAAGGAAATACCTTTTTCACAACGAAAGGTCCTAACCAGCGCGATTTGAGCTCACCTGGAAACAACCTCAGATGAGAATTGTACAATAATACCTGCTATCCCGGCTTAAATTTCTTCGGAGCAATCTTCTTATCATGCCACCTCTTTGTCTTTTCCTTGTATATCCTGCCATTCTCTTAAGCAGCTAACCTGAAATCATCCAACTCATATAATTGTAATAATCTCTTTTCGTTAGCTTTAGTTGGTTCAAAATTCATAAACTTAGTTTCCCACATAGCTTTATGTTCTAATCCAACAGGGAGATGACAAGACTTACCATATACTAGTTGAAACGGTGACATACTTATGAGAGTCTTAAAGGCTGTCATGTATGCCCATAGTGCATCATCTAGCTTCCTTGCCCAATCTTTTATGGAGCTTCCCACAGTCTTCTCTAGTATTCTCTTTAGCTCTCTGTTAGAGATCTCCACTTGCCCACTTGTTTGAGGATGATATGGTGTAGCCACTTTATGTGTGACTCCATACTTTGTAAGTAGACTCTCAAATTGCTTATTGCAAAAATGGGTTCCTCCATTGCTAATGATAACTCTAGAAACTCCAGATCTGGTGAAGATGTTCTTCTTCAGAAACAAAACCACCATTTTTGCATGATTTGTAGGCAGAGCCATTGCTTCCACCCACTTGGACACGTAGTCTACAACAACCAGTATGTAATGGTTGGAATATGACGTGGGATATGGTCACATGATGTCAATGCCCCATACATCAAATACTTTTACCTCTAGTATGCAATTCAGAGGCATCTCATCTCTTCGGGAAATGTTTCCCATCCTCTGCCATCTATCACACTTCTCTATGAACTCTTGTGCATCCTTGAATATAGTGGGCCAGTAGAATCCACTCTGTAAGACTTTATGCGCAATTCTATTTCCACCAAATTTCCCTCCATACTCTAATGCATGGCAATGCCACAAGATCTTTGAAATCTCAAATTTAGCCACACATCTGCGAATAATTTTGTCAGCACATTGGAAATATAGAAAAGGATTATCCCAGTGATACCTCTTTGCTCTTCCTTGATTGTCAAAACAGTTCCATTTATTTGCTTGCTTATTAAATCTGTCAGTTTATGCTCTTGCTTAGTTTTAAGTTTAAATTCAAAGATTCTTGTAATTGTTTGTCCAAATAAAGCATGAATAGGGAATCAGTGCTTGAATTTTAATCCTCGTGAGAATGATCTCATATTCACGTACACTTTATTACTTTTATGACGGTACACTTGTCGAAATCACAACACTTAACACATTATATATAATTTTCGTAGAATAAAATTTGTTACACATCGATAACGCTGCTTTACTCATAAAAACCGCAATAGTTCCAAAGTATATGTCATTCAGATGTTCCGACAGTCACATGGACGCGAAAGGAATAATGTGCCTCGAATATTCATTGTACTGATTACAGGTGATAAAAGAAGGTGGGGTTGGGGTGAGTCTCTGCTTTTACAAAATTCTGGAGTCTCAATCATTATACATTGTAAGAAAATCAAATTTGGGGTGACAAATGCACTTTGTTTGTAGACCAGTGATTGGGTTACGTCTTTGATTATAACCTGTGGCCCCTCTGCTTACCCAAAAACTTGAGCATAAAGTCATCGACCACTTTATATTATTGTATAGGCTAAAGTTCCCATCTTAATCCAAAACCAATCAACTTGATTCCCTTAAAGAAAAAAAGACGGATTAAGTTTGTACTTTGTTTGGTTAAAGAAAGTGACGTATTCTTTGCCCATGAAAAGTTATAGACATATTTTCTTCTATTTTTGATCTTCATTCTGAATTACTATGTATTAAAAATTCATATTCAATAGGATATAACTCAATTGGGGATACAGGTTAAGTAAAGGGAGAAGGCAACCTAAGTTCGATCGTTGACAGATCAAAGATTTTCGCTTGTATCATTTACCAGCTAATACTGTAACTACATGTATAAAAGCCATAAAATTAATGAAAGGACGGTATTGCCCATGTAGAACATTATGGTAGTCGATTATAAGTCCTCCCACCTGTAGAGCACATAAGACTTTTCACGTTTAGTAAAATTTGTGAGATGCACTCATCAATTGCTTATTTTATGAGACTTTTTACGTTTGATTCATATATATTAGTTTTGATTTTGGCGTTTGGTCTCTGCAGCACCAGTCATGAGTCGTGCATCATGATATAACAAAATTGTAGCTCAGGGGAACGATTTTGATAAACAGGCAACTACAAAACGAACTCATATACTAGAAGTCTAGAATAACAAAAAAAGGCTAATATTTTACAGAAATATAATTATTATCGATAATATATAACCCATATGGTTTTGAAAAAAACCAACAATGTTTTCCAAAACCGATCCTATTTTGCCCCAAAAATAGTACCGAAAACCCCCACCCTTTTTTTTAACTACTTTTAATCATTTACATAGACAAATTACGACAACTTAGACAAGTTCTTGCCTTAGGATTTTAACCGAGATCATATTATAATTAATTTACTTGGTTAATAAAGACGGTTTATTCTGTCATGACCGTAGTACTATTGCAGGTCCATGCAGAGGAGAAAGGTTGGAAAACCAAAATTTGAGTGAAGTTGGACAGTTTTTGACTGAGCACGGTTCGCTCGGACCGGAGCCATTCGTTTTCGGTTTGTACGCGGTTACAGTGGTACAGGATGAACTGCAACCGGTTGTTCAGTTCACGTTTTTCGATCCTACACTTGTTCAACTGGTTCCGTAGGTTCTCAAGGTGCCTCTGTTTCCGCATCCGCGACCTCCGGGCGGATTCCCGGTTCGATATCATGCGTCGCCGCTTTCGCTCGTCCATGACCGACTCAGCACGTTGATTCGGTTCGTCGGGGACCGGTTTCGGTTCGCCATGGGTTTGGTCCGGTTCGTCTGAACCGGAAGTCGAATATACGGGTTTGGGATTGGTGGGTTTGAGGGCGCCGCCGGCGGAGAAGAGGTCGTGGCAATCCCACTGAGTGAAACCGCCGGCGAAGGCGGAGAATGGGTTTCCGAGAAGGTGGTCGGAGGGAGGAAGAGCGGAGAGCATGGTGGAGGCAGAGTGACAGGGTTTTTGGTAATTAGAGGGTGGTGGAGGAGAAGAGGGAGAAAGGGAAGAAAGGCAGCGTAGGGTACTCTTATTTATGGACGAGGTGTTGGGGTCAAAATCTGTAATTAGGGAGATCTAGTAAGGGTGTTTCCGTCCGAAATCAAACATTTGCATGGCTTTTGAGTCAGTTGCCACTATGATTGTGGGCCAAGGGTCACATTTACTTTTATAAGTTGGGGCATAGATGGTCCCTCGTTAAAGATTGTTTTTTTTTTTTTAATACATTAAAGATTGTTTTTTAAGCTTAGCCATGAAGGTAAAACAGAACATTCTGTATAAAAAAAAAAAAAGAGTTTTTAAAAAATTATCAACAAAGAAAATTATTAAAAATACAAAATAACTCCAGTAAAACGCATAAAAAAATATACAATTTTTACTTTTCTGATTATATTGTGATTAAAAAATAATTGTTTTCTCCAATCATAATTATAACACTTTTTACAAAAATGCAATCATACCTAATAGCATTACTCTTTATAAACAAATACCCTTGGGTAGTTGTAGTCAAAGACCGCTCTAATAATAAAATACCAGTTGGAATTACACTAGACACATGTGGAAGTGTCATTGGGTGTGAGACTGTGAGTGTCTGAGAACCACGCGTGCCCAGTGATTTGAAGGTTTGGTGGGTGCGGCACCGTTTTGTTACTGTCTTAATATAACAAGTAAAATTGTAGCAAACTAATATTTACTTTCTAATAGAGGTAAAAACCCCTGTTTAAGTGAGTTGATAAATTAAAATAATTAACTCAATATAAATTTAAAATATTTAAAAATTGTAAACTAGATACAAAATCATAAAATTTAATAATAAAGTTTTTTCATTTATCATAAACATTACGCGAGCATGACCAAAAAATTATAAAACTTAAATTTTTTAATAAATTTAAGTGAGAAAATCAAATTAATTTTGATTAGGGAGAAAAGAAAAAGTCAAACAGAGTTGGCTTATTTAATATGAGTGACGTTTTTTTTTGTAACCTTATTCATATTATAGTGGATTAAGTTAACTTGCCTCATGAATCATAACTCACAACTTTTAGCATTTATTAAAAAAATAAAAATAAAAATCACTACTCTAATCGCAAGCCAAGCCGAAGATGATGCTAAGAACAGATGCCATGCCTCTCGAGTAGTAGTCGCAAGTCGCAACTCTAGTGCATGCACGGCCGCACCAAGCTTGTTATTCATTGATTCATGACGTCAATCGTAAAAGCTCCGTTTAGCACTAAATTATTTGAGTGGCGTACCATTAACATTTCTTTATTCTGAATGCTACATTTCTAAACATTAAAATTAAACACAAGTGGTCTCACTTGGTAGAGCTCATGTTCAGCACACAATGGCCCAAGTGCAAGGTTAAAATACAGAGATATACGTATACGAGGATGATTGATTCATGACATCAACGGTAAAAGCCCCGTTTAACACTGAAGGTGAGTGACGTACTATTGACATTTTTCTTATTCAGAATATTAAACCCCTAATCATTTAAATTAAACACAAATGGTCTTATTTGGTTTGAGCTCAGTTTCGGCCCCCACAGCAGTACATCACAGTTGTCCGAGTGGGAGATTAAAATACAGTAACATACTGGATTGAGGAAGAGATAGAAGAACAAATATTGACTATAATTATTAATTTTAAAATACATTATTAAATATAGTATATATAATATTCTAATGTTTTTTTACTGTAAACAATATATTATTTTGAATGGTATGTTTATTAAGTTTCTTTGTATTAATATGATATAATTAAAATAATTAATAAGATTTGAAAAGATTCATTCCCGAATTCATTATTATTCGCGGTAGACACATTAGTTCTCGATAATACAAAATCCTCACCTAGTACGTAAAAACCATAAATGTCAACCATAATTCTTAAGAAGAACGAAATACAACCGACATTCTTTAAACACTGACAGAAGGTTGATGTTTTCTTTCCTTTTCCCTTCTTCCTTTTGGGTAACTATTATTTCTCTCACTTCTACTCTACCTCCATTCTTTCTAGTCTATACTCCTTCCTTCCCGGTGAAAGGTTGCAGTAATTAATTCTTCACTTTCAATGAATAAATAAACGATTAATAAAAAAAAAGAGCTATTCACTTCAAACCACGAATATGAACAAACCGTAAGTTGCTTATTTGCAAATTCACAATTAGTTGATGCAGATGACTGCATGATTGCCTGAATGAACTACTTTAATTAATTAAGAAACTGTTGTCCCTTCTAGTAAAGCGACGCGCATAAATTTGTTTTACAGATTGAATTTAATTTTGAGGTCAGTATTATTTGAAAATTTGTGTGGGTCCCAAGTGATGACGTGATTAAAAAAAAGTTCCACATTAAAAAAAAATAAATATAAATTGACAACTTTATAAGTAGAACAATGCACATGAATTTACTGTCTTAAATTTTTTGATTGAAATGTGTTTAAATAATATTTAATAAAATTGGGGAATATTCCTTTTCGTACTAGAAATTCGAGGAATATTCTTGAGCAAAGTTCTTCTAAAGCTGTATTGGCTATCAAACAAAATGCCCCGGGAATGGGCCATGAGAACAGTTTTGTGCCAACGTTCACCACAGTCTAGTGACTTAGGTTAGGCGTAAGAGACTGTTTAAAAGAAATAGACCCTTAAATATGGCACGGCTTTTACGACCCCATAAGGCCACAATATCAAATATATGGACACATCCAATTTTTGATTGATCTCTGCACAGTAAACAAGGTGATATTTAACCAATATATGAAGGCCAAGTTTCTTACGTAGCTAGTACATGGCTGGCTTTATTTTGGCGGTTGGGCAGACCGGTACAATAATTGCTGAAAACAATGGTAACAAGGTGGACATGGTTAGCAAACCATGTGAACGGGAAGGGAGATATAAAGTGAAGAAGCAAGCAATTCGTCAAAAGGGAGGAGGATAATTAGTTGCTACCACAAGTGGAACACACATGACACACCCCAGTGACCCCACAATTACTCAAGTAACAAAATTAGAAGCGTACACACTAAAAATTACGATTGTAAGTTCCTATACAATAAAATGAATAATATAATAAAATAGTCCACTTAAATTATAGTATGTGTACAATCTATGGCTGCATTAAAAATTTATCCCAAAAGAAAAGGAAAAAAAAAAAGGTAAAGGAGCGACACAATACTTTTGTTGCTAAAAAAGCAAAAGACAAGGAAGATAATAGCTACAGCAAAATGAGATTTGTAAGGTTTTTCTTTACTTGGCTCTTTTTCTTTTAGCAACTAATGCGTTGGAGGAAAGGCATTGAGGTGCCGAGAAAATCTTTAAGTCCTAGACCTCTTGCAAAGGACATTCACAATATCATATGGAAATCTATCTATTATGAGAAAGCGAAGCGTTTGCGGAGGAGAATTTTTTTTGAATATTACGAAAATGGTTGAAAAGTGAGTTTGGTAGGAAAATATAAAAAAGTTGTTTGGTTAACCAAAATATTATCAGAGAAACTTATTTAAATTTGCAAAATTTATATTCGGAAGAAACTTCGCACCTGTTTTTTCACTTCCCCAGTTATCTCAAAATACCACTAACCACATCTTAAGGTGGTGTTTGGTTGGGAGCTTTTCAGCGGACATCTATCTTTCTCAAGTATGGCTTTTAGAAACACCATGTTTGTTTCAACGTTTTTCACCAAAAACCCATCTATCCAATTTGTCTGGATTTATGAGAAACATAGATATCCGCACTGTTTAGAAACCCAATTTGAAGGTGGGATTTTTCGAAAAACCGGTTATTTGGCTTTTAATGCATTGTTGATTTCATAAAGTTACCTAATTTTCCCAGTAAAGTTTTTCCCTATCAAACAACGTTTTTTTACATTTTTCTACATATCTCACTTTATCTATCTTTCCAATCATTTCTCTATCTATTACATTTCTCTACTATTTCAAAAAAATTTCCTCAACCAAACGCCCCCTAAGTGATATTGTAATAGTGAAATTCATCCAAAAATCAACACAAAAGTCATTTTCTCATCTATCCTATTTGCCTAGTATTTTTTTTAAAAATCTGAACCAAACGTGATATTTTCCAATATCCAGTTACACTTTTTCATCAATCTCAAAATAAATCTTCTCCCAAACACTACTTAAAGCATTGCATATTCATATGTCATGAAGTGTCTACGTTAGAGGAACAGATAAAATGGAATGCGCTATTGCTGGGGAGTGGGGACTGCTTTTAACCTGTTGGCTAGTACGAGTATATACAGATCTGTTGGATATTATATCACATGGACACGTTAACTGTATTGTTGCTTTCAATCATTGACATGTGAAATCCCTCGCTCTGTGATCTCTCTAGATCTCTCTTTTATTATTCCAGTGAGTTGGCTTTCCTGTGACTTTTGAACTCTCTTTTCTAATTTTTCTTGCTTTGAATTTGGAGCCAAGGCAAGTTTGGCTGTTAGTTCTTGATTCAAGAGTCAGTTAATTTCAAGGCTTGAAAGTTTGTCTCCCCGCGCTTGTCCTTGTCCCTTCAACCACGTAGAGACACCTCAATTCCAAGTTTGGAGCCAAGGCAAGTTTGGCTGTTAGTTCTAGTTGCCGCTAGTTTTAAGCATAGAACTAACTAGCGAGGCACTAGGCTCAGAAAAGAAGAAAAAGTCTCATTCAAAAGAAGTCAGTCAACGAAGCCCTCCCAATATTTATGTTCGCCATTATGCCCAAATTAAAATTTCTTAGGTCGATTTAATTACAAGTTTACTAACATAAATTAAATAATGATACTTCTATTTTGATTTACTTTTTCTTCATAAGACCTTCTCAGACTCCAAAGTAAATCTATCTGAATCATTTAAAAAATGTTATAATAGAACTAATATATCATATATTTAGTGGCTTATACAGAATTCAGTAAAAAGCTTAAAAAGAATTAAATATGTCCAAGTGTTAAATTATATCGAATTTTCAGTTTCTATCCCTTTTTTAAT